CATAGGAAAGGAGAAGCAGGAAGAAGGTGCCTATGGTTATGACACCACTGTTGGCAGCAACAACAAACTCAAACTTGGCTGCATCAGAGCATGCAAGCTGTATGATCCTGGGAAAGTCACAACAGAAGCTGTCTATCTTATTAGGACCACAAAAAGGCAAGTTGATAACAAATGAAAACTGAGTCATAGCATGGATCACTCCTGTTACCCAGCTGATGACTATCAACAGAACACATGTTCTTGGTTTCATAATGGACAAATAGTGGAGTGGATTGCAGATGGCTACGTACCTGTCAAATGCCATGGCTATCAGCAGCACCATCTCTACTCCTCCCATGGTGTGGATGAAGCATGTCTGCGTCATACAGCTTTGGAAGGAAATTACTTTGTGTTCTGCTAACAGGTCTGTGATCATCCTGGGAACTGTGGTGGAGGAAACACCAATATCATTCAAGGACAGGTTGGCCAGCAGGAAGTACATAGGAGAATGTAAGTGAGAATCAACAATTATCAAAAAGACAACAAAGAAGTTTCCCAGGATGATCCCTAAGTAGAGCAAGGAGAATGTTATTGTGAGAATAACTCTAGTTTCCCAAGAACCTGAGAGTCCCAGCAGCACAAACTCAGAAACCACAGAGCCATTCAGTCCATCCATTGCTTTGATCACAAGAGCTGGTTTTGAACCACCTGTGGATAGAACATGATGAAGAGTCAGAATCTGTGGTATTAACTTGTGCTTCCCATTCTGTGCACCAGAAACCCTTAGTTAAAAATCGTTGAATTCACTGACAAACATGTAAATAAGTAAAGTAATAGAAACAGCAAATTATTGTGATTCAATTAAAAGGAAATTACACTGTATAGTATATGGGAATAAAATAATTTCTTTCCTTTTTTATATGACCAGAAATGTTTGTTTTGCTTGCTTTGCCTCTCTAGGATTTATGGAAATGTTTTCTAAATTCTTTCTGGGTGTTTTCCCAGCCTAATGATCTCAGGTTAACCAAAGTGTTCTCATACTATTCTGCTGCAATAAGACACATTTTTTTTTTGCTTAATATATATTTCACCAGTGAAGTAGAAATTTACATGTCAAGATTGTTATTCACACAATGTGTGGGCATCAGCACTGTCTACTTATGACCATTAAATTAATATGAACACCTGGTAATGTACAAAAATTTTCTTTAAATATTAATGTTAATACTTATTTTCATCCTTCATACAGAGCTTTGGTATAACCACTTCATTATTTTTAAAACCACACAATTCATGTATAGATATTGTTAAATGAGACCCACTGTGTTAATGAAGAATCTGAGTCTTAAATGGATAAGCTCTTAGAGCCATGATTTGTTATCCAGAGGTGTACGATATCAGTAACCCATACTCTTCAACATGGCGCAAGGATAGCCCCTTCAAGTCACTCTGGAACTGGCCCAGATATCATTGAATTGTATTTCCTTTAAATTCTGTTGACTCCTATCAATGCAGCAAACTTTCTACTTAAATATGAAATAGCTGTATGGTGGACTCTTTCTAATTACACCTTACTCCACCCAACCCTTTACTGGCAATCCTTACTTTTTGTTTATAACATAGATTAAAAATAATCCAATTTATACAGATGCATTAATTCTTGTGAAGAAATCTGAATTATGAATATTTCATGCCATTGTCCATTTTGGGACATCATTTCTTTTTATGTAGCTGTAGGATTCTCATTATCATGACTTTGTTTCTGTAACAAACAAATCTTGTCTTTGGATTCTTGGATTTATAATGCTGTTCTCCTTCCTGCCTTTTGTCAATGAAATTCCCTTTGTTCACACTTTTGGC